AACTAGAACACGCAAGTTACAAACGATATTAGTTTGTCACTAATGCAGTAAAACATCCAAATTGTAACTTTTGTTTATTCTCCCAATGTCTAACCGTAGCGTCAGCTCGCACCGGTGTGCTCCGCAATGATGGCCCTATTTCAAGTATTTTATTTCTGTTTTGAAAATTTCAATATCTAAGACAAATATGATAATCAAATAAAAAAATTCTTAGCATTTGAATTATTCGAAAATAAACTTTTCGTCGTCTTATAAACTTTTTTTCTAGTTCCTTTTCGTTGTTTCATATTATTTGCACCTAGAAATTTAAGGTGATTCAAGGTTATAACTTTAAGGGAGTTTCAGTAAAATGTACATATAGAAAATTACGATTTTCTGATGATAATGAGTTTTCTCCAACTAGGAGTTAATTCAAATTCAAAATATCAACCTTCTGACTTTATTTGAAGGGACTGCTTAACCCATTAATGTCTCAGAAGTCAATACTCAACCCACTGTTATACATCATATAAACATATAATATTCTAGACTGCAATAGGACTGGTACAAGGACCTAAGCAGACAATACAACATCCATAACGAAACATAAAAATTGTAATACATTATCTTGAACTTCTAAACTTCAAGCTTCGTCTGCCTGTCTAAAAGAATGGTTCACAGATGGCAGACAACATATTATACATACTACTTTGTAATGCCAGACAAGGCTTATTTGACCTAGAATGTATTAAAACTTTCATTATTTCTATTCTAAATTCTTCTCATGAACGATTACCCTATTTCGTTCCTTTGTTTCAGGATTGTAAAGGCCCCTACCCACAGAGTGCAATATGTCTCGACGTCTCGACCGTTTTTCGACCAAATATTTGTATTATTATTTCTTTGTAATAAAATACAATTAATATTCAAAATATAGTTCATTGTTATCTACTGTCATTAGCCATCTGCTAGCCAATTGTTCGATCCCACGCTGATATTATTCTTTGGGATGGCTGTCAAAGAACTCTTGGACCGTAATTTCAATTCCGCAAAATTATCAATTTTTGAAGAAGTCGAATGGGATTAAACAAGTTTAGAGAATGCTCTGAAGGGATTATTAAATATTGGTAAGTATTAAAATATTTACAGTCCTTTAAAATCTTGAATTTGGTAAAACTTTTATTTTTAATTTTATTTTTATACACCCTATTGCTATCTATTGCATTAAAGGAGACGCACAGAGAGCGACAACCGTAGCGATATTTACAAACGGCATTGTATAGTCGAGACATTTCGCGCTCTATGTATGATCTCGGATACCATGCTATCCAGTGCCCTATGGGACCAATTCATGTACTTGCCGTTTAATTCGTCCCAGTATAAATTAAATTATATACATTGATAAATATAGCAGAATTAAAAATTGCTTATTGACTGACACGATAAATGATTTAAGTAATGACTAATGTATTCAAATATGCATTAAAATATATCATAAATGTATTTTTACTGACGACAATTATTCAATTGAGATATAAAATACTAAGTGAGTCGTTATAATAAGCCTAAGAGATATAATCCAAATTACAAATTAATATTTGAGGATAGCGTTTCGTAGTTTTTTAATTCAACACCTCTAGGCCTGAAAATGGCCAACACAGTTTGTCCGAAATTGGCCTCAGTAATAATTATACAAAAATAAAACTTTTACCATTCTTAGTTCTAAGTGATCCTCAATATGACACAAATGCGTTAAAAAATTTGTATTTTACTTGAACGATCTACAGTATATGGTGCGTGAATTATATATGTGATACTGTTTAGGAAAGATAAAAAGATATACGAACGTGTCTAGACAAATATTTCTGTTAGAAATTCCAACTAGAATCATAAATTGTGGTGAAATTTTAGGATTAAACAATGAAACCGTAATTCGCTATCATATTACTATCATTATTTGTTATTTAGTAATCATTACATCTCAAAACGACAGCATTTCACATTTCATCGCAACTTCGCGATAAGCTAAATGTTTCATAATAATACTCAAGGGTTCGTACGTTTTCAGCATATCATTGATTACGAGTGAATTTAAAAACAATTAGTTGCCTATAAAATTCGCTGATTTAAATGTATGTGGAGATAAGTAGATTTAAGATATATCCTACCAGCCAGTTTTTTTTTGTTTGTTTAATAATTGTTTCCTTTACTCAAAAGAAGTGCTTGTTTATTAATGATACTTCTGTAAACCTATATATATATATATATATATATATATATATATATATATATATATATATAAGAATCTATGTCCATTTGTCCTTAATACATTACTAAACCATTCATCCGATCGCTATGAAACTTTGGGAAGTTGTTGGGTACAATCTCGCGAAAGATTCTGACATAGTACATCCGTTCTACGATAATTATATATGTGTAAAAAAAAAATATCGCTATAGACTGTTGCGCCAAAACGGCTGGAACGATTTTAACGAAACTTGGCAAAAGTCTTACCCTTAATTTATGTGTATAACATACTTTCCCGAAAACAGGCTGTTACGATGAATTCAAAATTTTATTTGTCGATAACTAAAAAAGTACACACATTTTGATTTTTGACCGTTTATGTTCTTAATTCCTCTTAGAAATAAGTTTTTCATTGATTTTAATTTAGTTTAATTTTTAATAAATTATTTTCTTTAACATTGCATTTGAATAAGAATGAAATCTATATTAAATCAAGTTGTTGTTAAGAAAACGCTGGTAATCAAATGTCTTGGGAAGGATAGGCGAAATCATTTGAAGGAGGTGGAAAGCAGCCAGCTCTAATGAACACGAAACGAACGCTATGGTAAGCGATATAACACAAGTGCAATGCATTGCAACGTTTGATATTTGAAAATCTTAAAGAATGAAACGGCATCTTAAAATATTTTGAACAGCATGTGTTGCTTTTAGATCCAACTGATATTGCGTTTTTAATTAATATATATAGTTTTACTTTATATTCTATACCAGTAGGTATATAAAAACAAGTGCGTATTCGAATGCAGCTTTAAGCCAAAATTTCAAGGCAATCTGTGAAGAACTTTCGGAAATTTAAGATTTTGAACAAACGAACATTTTTCATTTTTATTCACCATAAAATATCCAAACAAAGTTGAAAATTAAACAATACGTCAAATTTAAAAAATATTAATAACAAAACCCAAAACCCAATTGCATGCCCATCTCTCAAATGTATGTGGTAACTGTTCAATTTAAAACAATTGAGGATGTAGCTATAATAAAGACATTTAATTTTAGATGAATAAATCGAGTTCTTGTTTCGACTCCCAAACGATAGCCCTGAGGATGACCCACATGTTTATAGGTCGAAACGTCGCCTAACCTAATACAATTCCTGACAATTTCATTTCATCCCAAATTGAATAAATTGCAATAAATACTTCAAATGTTAAATTGAAAGTTAAAATTTTTTGAACGACCTGTACATAATGTTCTAACGGTGTTACAATGTCTTTTTTTATTTTTATTTCTGTTTATGAAACATTCATCAAGAGAATTAAATAAATAAATAGAAACCGTTTTTATTCCTTTTTTTGGGGTATATGAACATATGTAGATTTAAAAATATCAATTATATTTATTCTAAAATAAAGGAGATTCGTTAGCCTTATAGTTGCTCATTTTATAGACAAATCTTTCTAAATCCTTCAGAGTAAGTTCCCAGAATTATTGCTAACCGAGTCTGTTTGAATAGGAATCTTAAATTGATAATCCACTAACTAACTTGTTCTGTTCTACTCTAGCCATTTTACTAGAAATTTGGAGTCTTTTTTTTAAAAAATCGATGGCGAACTTTCTTAGTTTCAGCAAAACTTTATTTCTTTTGTTTACGTTCTTTTTCCAATTATCATTCAGTTTTTTTTATTGATTGTAACACCACGGATCAATTCTTATAAACCAAATTAATGCAATATATGTAAAAAGTCATATAAAACGAGGTTACAGTAACCGTTCTATTTTTTTGTGTAAATGAATAATCAAAGCTAAATTTAAAAACAACTTCAAGATCGATAAGAAACATTTTTCAAAAAAAAGGGCCAAAGGGCATAGCCATTTCCTTGATTTTTTTTTTTTTTTTATTAAAGAAATTTACTACTGTATTAAATAATAAATACAACAAGTAAATATGAACAAGTAACATGACATGTACAACATGAAGAGAAACTACCCATTGGTAGCAGTCCAATTATATTTCTTAATTAGAACGTCCCGAGGCCATCTTTTTTTCAGACTCGGAGCGTTATCAGGAATAGAAGAGGAAGCAAGGTTGGAAACAACAGGGGTTGGGATGGTTCAGAAGTTTATTATGGAAGGATAGGTATCTGGATTGATCTAAATCGGAAACATATGGTACATTAAGGTCCTATATGGTAAATTATGGATGATTTTATTTGTGACAAAGTCGGGAGCATTAAGGATTTTACGAAGAATTTTGGATTGTAGGAATTGCATACGAGAGGAATTTGATGGTTTAGTAAAGCCCCAAAGCTCTTCCTTGATTATTCTGTAATTTTAGTCAACGAAAAAAGTGGAAAATTATTAATTATTTTTAATGACTATGTTTAATAAAAAACGCTGCAAATTATTTCACAATGGTTTATTATTTCCAAACTATTACACATCTAAATTAACATTACCTTACGAGTTACAAGTTAAAAAAACAAAAGGTGATTCCAATTATTGGACTAAACTGTTTTTCTTTAATCATTAGTAAATGCTAAAAACAAATAGCATTAATTCAGTAACACATTCAAAATTTAAAAACAAAACCAAGGATACAATATTTGGAGTAGAACATATAAAAAAAAAAAAACGGAGACCATATCTTTGTTCCTATTTGTTCGATTTTAACGATTTTTTTTTTTTTTTTTTAGGAAATTTAGGAAAAAAGAGGCTCGCCACCGAAGTCGAAGATCTTCAACTGGAGGTTGACCGTGCCAATGTCATTGCCAATGCTGCCGAAAAGAAGGCCAAGGCTATCGACAAAATCATTGGTGAATGGAAACTCAAGGTTGATGACCTTGCAGCTGAACTTGATGCTAGCCAAAAGGAATGCAGGAACTACTCGACTGAGCTCTTCAGGTTGAAAGGAGCATATGAGGAAGGACAAGAACAACTTGAAGCTGTCCGCAGGGAGAACAAAAACCTTGCTGGTGATTTTTTAAATTTATTTTTATAAATTTACAATAAAAAAATAAGTTCATTTTAGATTAATTATTTTGGATGATAATTCTTTAAGATAAATTCGAATAATTGTTCATGGAATGAAATTTTAAGACCATTTTTTGTTTATTTTTCAGATGAAGTCAAGGATCTCCTTGATCAAATTGGTGAGGGTGGACGCAACATCCACGAAATTGAGAAACAGAGGAAGAGGCTTGAAGTTGAAAAAGATGAACTCCAAGCTGCTCTCGAAGAAGCTGAAGCCGCCCTTGAACAGGAAGAAAACAAAGTCCTCAGGGCTCAACTGGAACTTAGCCAAGTTAGGCAAGAAATTGATCGTCGCATCCAGGAGAAGGAAGAAGAATTTGAAAACACCAGATACATTCATTCAAATAATAGTGTGTTGTCCAATATATTATATTTAAAAAATCTATATTATTTTAATGCAAATTTTTATTTCTTGCAGGAAAAATCACCAACGTGCCCTCGACTCTATGCAAGCCAGTTTGGAAGCAGAAGCCAAGGGTAAGGCTGAGGCACTCCGCATGAAGAAGAAACTGGAAGCTGACATCAACGAACTTGAAATCGCTCTTGACCATGCCAACAAGGCTAATGCTGAAGCTCAGAAATCCATCAAGAAATACCAGCAACAACTTAAGGATGTCCAGACCGCACTCGAGGAAGAACAAAGAGCTAGGGATGATGCCCGAGAACAACATGGTATTGCCGAAAGGCGAGCCAATGCTCTTGGAAACGAACTCGAAGAATCAAGAACTCTCCTGGAACAGGCAGACCACGGCCGTCGCCAGGCAGAACAAGAACTTACCGATGCTCAAGAACAAATCAACGATGTTGATTATTCATTTACACAAAAAAATAGAACGGTTACTGTAACCTCGTTTTATATGACTTTTTGCATATATTGAATTAATATGGTTTATAAGAATTGATCCATGGTGTTACAATCAATAAAAAAACGGAATGATAATTGGAAAAAGAACGTAAACAAAAGAAATAAAGTTTTGCTGAAACTAAGAAAGTTCGCCATCAATTTTTTTAAAAAAATACTCCAAATTTCTAGTAAAATGGCTAGAGTAGAACAGAACAAGTTAACTAGTGAATTATCAATTTAAGATTCCTATTCAAACAGACTCGTTAGCAATAATTCTGGGAACATACTCTGAAGGATTTAGAAAGATTTGTCTATAAAATGAGCCACTATAAGGCTAACGAATCTCCTTTATTTTAGAATAAATATAATTGATATTTTTAAATCTACATATGTTCATATACCCCAAAAAAAGAAATAAAAACGGTTTTATTTATTTATTTGATTCTCTTGATGAATGTTTCATAAACAGAAATAAAAATAAAAAAAGACATTGTAACACCGTTAGAACATTATGTACAGGTCGTTCAAAAAATTTTAACTTTCAATTTAACATTTGAAGTATTTATTGCAATTTATTCAATTTGGGATGAAATGAAATTGTCAGGAATTGTATTAGGTTAGGCGACGTTTCGACCTATAAACATGTGGTCATCCTCAGGGCTATCGTTTGGGAGTCGAAACAAGAACTCGATTTATTCATCTAAAATTAAATGTCTTTATTATAGCTACATCCTCAATTGTTTTAAATAGAACAGTTAGCACATACATTTGAGAGATGGGCAAGCAATTAGGTTTTGGTATATTGGAGGAATTATTCGTTATTGCCTCAATCATAATGGTCCACACAGAATACATAGCAGTCTTGGACTATTAGCTTAGTTTTAATATAAAGTCTTTGAATGGTATGCTATTTAAATAACTATTTTGCCCTGAAATGTAATGAAATTTCTATTATATATTATTAAGAATTAGCTTTACCTGGCCATGTGCTGCTCTGGCTCAGTATGCAAAACGGGAAAGAAAAAAACACATATGAGTGGCTTAATATCAAAGGATATCTGTCATTTTTTAAAATTGATACAATAATTTTTTTTGGAACACTAATTAATTAATTAAGCTTCAATTTAAACTAATTTTAATGATTTTTTTCCAGATTCAGCTTGAATATCGTTAAATAAAATCATCAGAAACAGTTTGAATCGAACTGTCCATAAACACAACTGGAAATTTTCTCTGCTTTTTGAAAATGATAGAGATCCATCATACGAAGCCACTCATTCTTTGATATCACATACAAGTGGTAAAAAGTGTTTAATGATTTTCAGTAATTGTTATGATAATTCTTTTTTTAGTAGATTAATGTACCTGTTAAAATGTTAGAGATGTAAGAAATATTCATTACAATTAAACATCTTCTACTATTTTTTTTAAGTTTAATATATATACACAAACATTCACTACTGAAAAATCTATATATTTTTTTCTTTTTTTTTTTAATGTATGAGCAATGATATTCCTCAACTTAATTGAAGTATATTTTGGAAGAGACTATTAACTTAAGAGAAACTGTTTGATATAGAACTTTATAAAATATTCAACATCTATTTAGCTGTAATATTATTTTAAACAATAATCAAGTTAGCTTTATAATGCTATTGATTTTTTAACTTATAAAAAATTCAGTTAGTAGGCCAAAATCATATAATTTATCAACAAATTTTAGCTTTGAAAATGGACTCAATAAAGTTTATCTTAGTGATATGAACAGTAAGGATAATATTTTAAAAATAAACAAATAAAAAATTGGTGAAATAACAATCAGAATTTTTTCTTCTAATTGATAATGTATCATCAAATAATGGATTTGAAAAATCTCTTCTCCTACCACTTTGGTTTTTAAAAAATCTTGAGTGTTCATGTCAAACAAACAAAATGAATAATTATTAATGAATTAATATTAGGAACTAATATTTAAAAACATTTTTCAGAATCGCAACCCAATGAGGCCTCTGCTGGATGGCTCAGCTTTTCCACCACGATTCGACCTACACCAGGATGACTTTTAAATATTATTTATGATAGCTACGCAAAACAACCCAAACACAATTATGTATTTATTTTAAAATATGTAATTTAAGAATATTGTGTTAATGTCCATAGCTAGTGTCCGCTAGCATCGAAATAATATTCACGATTAGCGAACTGTACCTTATTTCAAGAAAATGGGAAAAAAAAGTTTTTATGTACAGTAAGAACATTAAAAAAACAATAAGAATAAAATATTTATATCGTGAATAATTCCAGTTGTATTTATTTCATCCCAATAAATGAAATATATATATATTAATTAATAAATAATTCATTACTGAAATTTGTCTTGTTTTTTACAACATCCTTTTATAGTACCACTTTTCAAAAGTAAAATTAAACATTTTATATGTGCTAGAGAAAAAAAATATTGTCTAAAATAATATTTAAATTCATAAAATGTAGTAATAAAAACCTATTGATCTATTGACGTCTTCTCGTCTTCGTGTCCAGGCCTCCAATGCTATCACTGGTGTCCTTTTCCAGCTGCTGCTACCTGACCGGACTTTTTCCCTTCTTCATCGATTGTTTATCGATATGAGACTTTTCAATGAACAATTTGTACACTGCACAATTGAGTTCAATTCACAATGCAACCTCACATTCCTATATATTATATATTCCTTCTCATTCCCTCACCCAATGTCACATAAAGGAGTATATACCGGGGGATGTCTACTACAAATGATAGAAGCTATATTTATTTAAATTTCAGTGTGGGTATTTTTATTTGTTTAATTACCCTTATAGCTACAAATTTTAGTTTTTATATCACTGAATTCTATGCAATTAAATATTAAGCAATACCAACAATAACATTTTTGAAAACCGCATATATATATATATATATATATATATATATATATATATATATATATATATATATATATATATATATATGAACATAATATTGTCGGAGTCCACACATGATATTAAGTTTATGTTACATATGAATGCCTGTTCTAATCTTTCAGGTGAGCTCGGGCGCACTCGTATTCCTTTAATTCCTCTATTACAACTATTATCCCTTACGATCTCTTATTTCTCCTTCAGTTAATTATAAAAAATTTTCATACTTTTTATTTAACTGTTTTTTATTTCAAAGATTAATGTGAAATGGTTAATTATTTCAAATTACAAAAACTAAAGATACTTTAAAGGAAGCTGATATTGAAAATTTTATATTTAAGCCATGTTAGAGAACATCAATGAGAATAAAATCTACATTATAAAAACTGCTTAATAATACACTGATGCACTGAGTTTAATCAAAATTGTTAGAGCCAATTTTGAGAAAATTGTAAAAATATGTTAAATCGGTGATATTATTTACCACTTCCAGTTTGCCGATTTTTATGAAAATGTTGCTGTAATACCTCAAATAGGCAATTGCAGTTTTGTACAACTTTTCATTTTTGAGCTAGGCTGTTCACATATATAAACACAGACACACACACACAGACCATTTTATGGGACTTGGTTATTTGGACTCAGGTAACCTCAAAATGTATATTTCCGTTGAAAATTCAGACTCAAAAATTTTCACGATTCCAATTATTACCCATACTATGTATTACATATATAGATAAGTGAAAGTAAAAATATATTACTAAGGAAAGTATAAATAATAAGCAGAATAAATTTATTACAATAAAGGATTTAGATATATGATGAGTCATAAAATATATCCAGAATTTGTCATTCATCAAAAACAAGATTAAACCATAATTAAGAAAACATATATTTAACTTGATTATTTTAACTGTTCTAATTTAGCAAACTATTTCAAAATAATGGGATTAAATGATGGTGATCTCAGAATATGAAGTTCTAAAACCAAATTATTGTACTTTTATGGTGTATAATGCAGAATTCTTCCACTGACCATTTATGATTCAATTGATGATCAATTATGATTGATCATAGACTTAAAAGTCTACGATTATTAAAACAATTTATTACTTACAAATTCATTATGTGCATGTATGGGATTGAGCTATGACGCTCTTGGGAAGTATTAAATATGATATATAAAATAATTAAGTTATTCCAGTCAAGTGGACAGTGAACACACCATTTTATGTGTCAAACCACTAACTAAACAATTCCTTAAATATCCTAACAACCAGATACAGCTATTGGTTTATTTCAAAAATACTTGGTAATGGCAAGTATATTATAAAAATATTTTTTATATACCATAATATAATAAATTTGCTGATTTTATATTACAAAACTAATTTTAGGATAAATTTCCATTATTTTGATGTTTCATATGTATAATTTAATTTAATTCACCTAATATAACAAGTTTTATTTTTCATTAGACATAGAAAAAATGGATTGAAAAATGAAGTAGTTGTAAGAAAAGGATTTATTTTCTTATCACTATTATTAATTAATTTATCTCATAATTACGGTCTAAAAACTCGATTTAATTTAATCATATTATATTATTAAAAACACATCATCATATTATATTAATAATACATAGTTGTCATAAAAAATATCATGAATTCCATTGTCAATAAAAAAAAAAAAAAAATGGCACCTAAAAAGACTACAAGATAATTCATATTTGAAGTCTGAGGGGAAAATAATAACTATGAGTTATCTCATAGATCAGTAGTGAACTTGTCAATCTCTAATTTATTTATAATTAATAAAATCTTTTATTTAATATTCTTCAGTTGGAATTCCCATTTACATTTTTTAAACTATTTCTTTTAAACTATTAGAAATATCAGTTTTGTCCATATCATCAACACAATATGAGATAGTATGATAGTAATTTATTAATTCATAGATATGCAAACCAAATTTTCAAAACAAAAAAATTACTAAACTATATGGCTATACAATAATAACTAAAAAAAAAAAAAAAAAAAAAATATTACTCCAATCCTCAATCCTCTAAGGTAAATATCATACAGATGTCAACCCTTTGTTAACTTTCTGTTATTACCGCTGTAGTTTATGATGAATCTATTGTTCTAGGTACCTTTCCTCCCCATCTTCTAGAATCCCCAATTCCTCAATCTTAATTTCAACATTGTCATTAAAGTCAGTCTATTCTGGAAGGATATTCAGAGACCCTTCAACTAAATTGGAGCCTTTTTCATACAGCAGAGTAGCTCTGTGAGTTAAACATTGGGCCGCTAAACTTAAGGTCCCAAGTTAAAATATTGAAACAATACTTCCTAACAAAATACTGATCTGAAAACCCTTCATGGGTTTTGTTTGTACTGTTTTTTGTTTTTTTAATAGCACAACCTTTTATATATAAAATTTAAGTGGATTTTCAAGTATTAAAAATTAAATGTTAGTCCCTGTCATTAATTTCATTAAATAAAATTTTTTTGAATGATGAACTTTGTAACTTTGTTGATTTTTTTTTTTAATGAATTTTATTTTAAATTTAAGTAAATTACCAGTATGCTTCAATAATCATGCTTAATTTTACAGCAGACCATTCTTGAGATTTATGTATTTAATGTTTACTTTTTCATGCTTTTACACCCAATTTTTAAACAATTTTATTAAGCTTCTGGGAATTTGAGGGTTCTAATAATTTTATTTGATCTGAAACAATAATATTTTCATTTTATAAATTTTTGAAATTTACAAGAGTTAGAGAAAAAATATATCCATTTCCTGATACAGTGAGCATTGAAGGTATATATGTTTAATAATGGAGTTATATGTTTAGCTGCTTGGGGATATCATTAAATATTTTTACTTTTCCACTAAACAAAATTTATTTAAAAATAAAAATGTAACTTATTATTACCAAATTTATTTGTTGTGGAACTAAGAATTTTCTTTCTTGATTTTATTTATATCTGCTAATAATTTTGTTAATGGGATTTTATTCAAGCAATTAACCCAATGAATCTTATTGTTACAGAAACCCGAAATTGAGCGTTAATGTTATGGACTTGTCATGTAATAAAGAGAAGGCTTCCTGTATTTAATTTGAAATTATATTGTTCCTTATACTGTTAAGTAGTATATTTAAAGCAAATAAAGTTAAGGCATATGCTATTTATTTATTTAATATATTCATTAAAAACAATTTTAATTGCGCGGGCTCATTACCGCGTATGGGGAGCGTCCCACGGGTGGCGGATGTGGGGATGGTCGGTGGAAATTTCTTGGAAGTTCCTCCCGGCTAAGTCCGATGGACTCGCTGACCAACAATGAGAGGGGCCCTCCAGACTTGCTGGAGGGAGGGGACCTCCAGACTTGCTGGAGGTAGGGGCCCACCAGACTTGCTGGAGGGTGTGACGTAGGATTGAACGCCCTACTCACATATCTTTAGTTCACCAAACACCACAAAAAGTCATGGATCTTCCTAAGGTAAAACGCTCATTATCCGGAAGTAAACTAGTCCCCCGTTCGGGTCTCCGGGTGGGGACTGCTTTAGGGGATTCATGGCGCAAGTTGAAATATAGGGATTTAAATATTGGTACGTGGAACGTAAGGAGTTTAAACACAGCAGGGGGGCTAAAATCGGTCGCGAATGAGGTAAATGGGTACAATTTGGATGTCGTGGCTCTGCAAGAGGTTCGCTGGCCAGGGGAGGGCTCGATGAGGGAAGGGAAGTACACTATTTGGTACGGCGGAAGCGAGAATCATTGTTTAGGTACCGGGTTTCTAATTAGGCGTAGATTACTATCCGCTTTGAGGGACGTACAATTCTTTAGTGATAGAATTTCGGTAGCTACATTTCAGGGACGTTGGTTTAAAATCGCATTAATAAACATACATTGTCCGACCGAAGACAGTGACGATGAAGTCAAAAGTGAATTTTACGATAAACTCGAATGGGTTTATGATAAACTACCACGAAACTACATGAAAATAATTGTAGGTGACGCGAACGCAAAGGTAGGAAGGGAAGAAGTTTATATTCCGACGATTGGTAAAGAAAGTTTGCACGAATATAGTAATGATAATGGGATCCGTCTGATAAACTTTGCCATCTCGAAAAACCTGATAATTAAAAGTACGACGTTTAAACATAAGGATATTCATAAATATACTTGGACATCACCGGATTCGCAAACACGAAATCAAATCGATCATGTCTTGATACAACACAGCTGGCAAAGTAGTATAATTAATGTACGGTCTTATCGCGGAGCAGAATGTGGGTCGGATCATGAATTAGTAATCGCGAAACTTCGACAAAAACTTAATATAAAAAAGAGAAAAGAAAACCGTTTCGATTTTGAGAATTTTAATTTGGAAAAATTAAAAAATCCATCAATTAGAAACCAATTCGAGCTAGATGTTAAGAATAGGTTTGAAGCTTTAGAGCTTCCTGACGAGGACCACGAGGATATTGACAAGTTATGGATAGAGATCAGGGATAATATTAAAGCGGTCGGTAACTCGTGTCTAGGAAAAAAGGAAAATAAGAATAACAAACCGTGGTTTGATGAAGATTGCTTAAACATGTGTGAAAAAAGAAAAGCCGCTAAATTAAAAGCTCTAAATAATCCTAGCGAAGACAATCTGGAATACTTCCGAATCTCAAAGAACGAAACGACAAAATTGCTCAAAAATAAAAAAAGGGAGTATCTTAAAAATAAAATAATTGAAATAGAAACTAATAGAATCGAAAATAACGTAAGAGACATGTACAAAGGTATAAACAGATCACGTAAATATGTAGGGCCCGTAACGTCTGGAATTAGGGATGATAATAACAATATTCTGACCGATCCGGTTGACATATTGAATAAGTTTAAGGACCACTTTGACAATATTTTAAATACGGTAAATTATGATCTGTGTCCTCCTTCTGAGTACCAGAGTGCTGAACCGTTAATAGAAGGACCAAGTAAAGAGGAAGTTGAAGTAGCTATCGGAAAATTAAAATCATATAAAGCAGCGGGAATCGATAATATTCCTACTGAACTAATTAAGGCATGCGGAGAAGCTGGAGTTTCTAAAATACATCGGTTGGTTAAAAAGATCTGGGTGAACGAGAAATTACCTGAAGAATGGAAAGAATCTATTCTTATTCCGATTCACAAAAAGGGTCCGAGGACGGATTGTAATAACTATCGAGGAATTTCACTCCTTCCGGTATGTTATAAAATATTCACTTTAATCTTAACCAGTCGAATCACGGAATACGCCGAGGAAATTATCGGAGACTACCAATGCGGATTTAGACGGAATCGTTCGACTATTGATCAAATATTTTCTTTACGGCAAATATTAGAGAAAAAATTGGAGTATAACGGTATTGTTCACCAGCTGTATATAGATTTTAAAAAGGCTTACGATTCTATTGACCGCCAGAAATTGTATAATATTCTAATCGAGCAGGGGATTCCAAAAAAACTAGTAAATCTAGTCAGGATGTGCTTGACGGAGACACTCAATAAAGTTAGAATCGGTAATAATTTGTCCGAAAAATTTGAGGTTCGTTCGGGCTTAAAACAGGGGGATTCTCTTTCGCCTGTCCTGTTCAATTTGGCATTAGAACATGCCATTAGGGAGGTAATGCGAACCGAGAAAGGGTTGGATCTGGGCGGGACAACATCCGTGCTGGGCTATGCTGATGATCTGGTACTGTTAAGCAAAGACGTTGAAACTATAAAACTGAATACGACAACGTTAATGAAAGCCGGGAAAGAACTAGGACTCGAAATAAACGTGGATAAAACAAAATATATGGTTAGCTGCAAAAATGGCGATATTACTGGTGATATTGATATAGATGGTAATATCTTTGAACAGGTAGATAAGTTTAGGTATCTAGGTTCTACGATAACTAGAAAAAACGAAATTGAAGAAGAGATTAAGGTTAGACTAAAGGCGGGGAACGCTTGTTATTTTTCTGTGACAAAACTACTTAGTTCGCGCCTCTTGTCCCGAAACTTAAAAATTAGAATCTATAAAACAATTATCTTACCTACAGTTCTTTATGGATGCGAAACTTGGCCGCTTACATTAAGGGATGAGCAGCGTCTTAAGGTTTTTGAAAATAAAGTATTGCGTAGAATATTCGGACCGAAAAAGGATGAGTTAACCGGAGAGTTCAGACGGTTACACAACGCCGAATTGCGTGAGATGTATCCGGGTAATATAATTGAGGTAATTTCATCGCGGCGAATCAAATGGGCTTGTAAAGTTGTTGGGCTTAGTAACGAGAGAATTCCTAAAAGGTTAATATTTGCTGTGCCGAATGGTAAGCGTCCGAGGGGTAGACCGAAGCGAAGATGGGAGGATTGCATTAAAGCCGATCTGAAGGGACTGGGTTTGGACGGCGAACGGTGGAGGGAGGTGTGTAACAAGCGATTGGTGGTGTCGGCATCGAACCTTCGGGTTCGCTAAGCCTTATTATTATTATTATTATTATTATTATTATTCATTAAAAACATGTTTTTTCTTATTAAAAGCGTTGGTATCTATCATATTCCATGATGTTTGAATAACATTATTGAATTATTAATTAATTAATCGTTATAATTAATAAAACTAGATTTCAGCCATTCGTATTTTATTCATGTCATCTTCAAAAAATTGACATTTTATATAATCTAACCAGTTAATAATATAATGGAACATTTTGGACAAGGAACCATGAGATAATACATAATAATAAAACTAATTGAAAACATTTTATTAGCATATTAATTTAACAACATTTTTCTATATAAGGCCTTGCTCTTCTAGTTTGAGAAATTCAGGCCCCATCCTTTCTTTAAAGATATCAGAGGTGTAGAGGTGTTCGTTAAAGCCATCAGAACCGTCAGAACCTAAGACTTTTTCAAGATCCATGGCATCTGTTCCCTCAGCAGTCATCACAGGATGAAATACTCCAACAAGTGCCAGCCTGAAAAAAGCAATCCTCTCCATTTCAGCTGCTATTTCTTCATAAGTTGGTTGCCTTCCAGAATAATGATACTTTTGGAGCGTAGACAACAGGCTGTTTGTATATGTTCTCAGGAGACTGTCATAATGCGCACGCCGGAGCTTGGGTTCAATAGAGGCAAACATGAAGTAGGTTAGGTCCCAACAAGGTGAGTTGTAATGGCTGACCTGGAAGTCAAGGAACCTTCAACAGAAAATTGGATGTTATAATTTGAGGATCTGATATAACTTCCTAAACCACCTGAGGTGGAGGAGCTCAAAAATGGAATTTTAAAATATTGTTTTGTCATTTTGTCGTTTCCATTACATTTTGTTTTTTGTGAGTCACTAGCTAGATTCTAAAGGAACATTAGGTTTGTTGCTGTTAATTAATAGTCATGCAGAAAAAAAAAATCACAGTTGCAGGAAAAATTGACAGTCAAAGAACAATCATTTATACAATGCATAACCACTTTTATAATAACTTGGTCGAATAAGCAAATATTTAAGACCTGTAAAGATCAAAAATCTTTATAAAGATGAACTTAAAGAAAAAATTAATCATATCATAACTATCTTATTACTAACAATTATTATATATAAAATTTCTAAAATAAGGTAATTATATTCCCTTATTATAAATTAAAATTAAAAAAATAAAATTTAATGCAAACTTAAAACAAAACAGAAATTTCTGTATCAAACATTAAACTGACTAAAAGAGTTAAATCATAAACCAGCATGAATGATTTTTCAAATTTTCTGAGAAAAAACAACAATATATAAATTAAAACAATGGATTTAAAGCAAATGTGTCCTAATTTTAAGGCACTAACTTATTTACAGATGGATCATTTTAAGATTGATTTTTTTTTTTTTTTTTTTTTTTTATCGCACATCTTCCAGAGTCTGATTCACAAAAACAACAATATTAAATTTATACATTTTGTGATTATGTTAGCTGATGTTTTTCATTATTAGCAGCTCTTATTTATTATTAATAGCTATGTACCCATATAGTTTATTGGAAATTATACAGCTACTTTGGAAAAGGTGGGCAATTAGATTTTTTTTTTTAATTTGTTTTTTGAACTAATACTATCATATATAAGTGTTATGTGACATCATGAAAAAATATTTTTGAATCCTCAACATGGTAGATGAATAAGTAAATTCAAATATATATTTTTGCTTTTCTATAAAATTGTTCATGATTAGTTTGGCGCACAGTTACAATTGAACTATTAGGTTACTATATTATTCTAAATTTGCTATAAAATAATAATAAACTATAAATATGATAAACTGTCTATTCTAAAGACCAACCTGACTGCGATGGGACGATTACTCCAGTCATATTTGAATAACATATTGTTTGACCAACAATCCCCATGGTTGAGTACATTAAATCTAGATTCATCTAATTTCCCTATGTCTATCATTTTACTTTGAAAAACTTCCAAAGGCATAATAAGTTTGTTAGCCACTCTGTGCCTAAAATATGAAAATCATTAATATTTTCTATAAATAAGTTGTTTATTTATTATATATATTTTTTCATTTTATTTCAATGAAGAGATAAAATATATGTTTTTTTTATTACTATTATTTTGTGTATAACCCATGTCAGGTCCAATAGGATCAAAGAAGAGATTAAATTTTAAATTGATATAGTTCTATTTCAACATAATTCTTTTAAAGTTTAAAATCAGTGAGTGTCCTTAATAAAAGGTTTAGAATTTATTTTCAAAGTAGTTAATATTGACTTGAAACATCTTCTTACCAGGCTGATCCCCAGGATTGATGCATCGCTTTGCTGAGGTTTTGGAGACCATTGTAAACCAACCTTTCAATAAGTTGCTTGTCATTGACAATCGCATATGGCTTGTAGTCCTTACCATTAATAACCCCTCGCTCCTCAAGGATCTTGGACATGGCATGAAACCTGGCTAGGCTGTGTAACACCAGATGCCCATGTTCAAGATCCAAGCAGGATTGACGACGACTCATTATAAATCCTTTAACCTAGAAAAGTAGAGAAAAGTTGCAGCATAAGTATATTAATTATTAAAATTGATATAACAATCTGAATATTATAAGCAAATGTTACATCAAAAAGGTTACAGTTAATTTTAAATGTTTTAGATCACTTTTAATTTTTATTAAACAAAACTAGTGATAGATAGATAGAAGTATTTATTTTACGAATAACATACATAATGTTATTTTTTATGCCGCTAAACAAATTTTTGACAATGAATTTATTTAATCTGACTGTGTGTTCCCCTATATACACGTTCATATAACCAATCTTAAAAATTTACTCTTTAAATATAAGAAGGTAATAATTTCAATAATATCTATGTAATTAACACAAAATAAAGCTTAAAATTTGACTAAAAAGTCTTTCAAAATACATATAAAAGCCCATACAATCACACATAATAATTACATATATACATGAACACACACATAAATTTATTTTATCATAAATTAAACTCGCTAATCATTTCACATCTGTAGTTTGTGTATTTTTAAAAAATTATAAATAAACATTTCTGTAGTTTGAGCCATTTAATATTGTTACAGTTTCCAAAAAAATTAGTTGCTTTTCTGAACCCATAAAAATGTTCTTCTGATTTCATTAAAAATAATAGACACATCCATATAAAATAAAATATATCTTTTGGTGTATTTATGGTTGCATAAAGAACAATCACCCCTTTCATCTTATTACTGATGGGGTACAGTAATTTTTTTATTTATTTTAATGAATTTTTTTTTTTTAACTTTTATTATGATATTTACAACTGTATTAGTATGAATATATCAAGTAAAAATGAAATTTACAACTGTATTACATAAAAAATACAACAAGTAAATGTGACATTGGTAACATGACATGTACAACATGAAGAGAAACTACCCATTGGTAGAACTCAAATTAAAATTCTATATTAGAAGGTCCTGAGGCTGTCTTCTTTTCAGACGCCTAGGAGGGTTATCAGGGATTGAGGAGGAAGCAAGGTTTGAAACGCGAGGGTTCAGATGGTTCTGCAGTTTTTTATGGAAGGATAGGGATCTGGATTGGGCCAAATCGGAAACGTATGGAACATTAAGGTCTTTGTGGATGATTTTATTTGTGACAAAGTAAGGAGTGTTGAGGATTTTACGAAGGATTTTGGATTGAAAGGATTGGGTACGAGAGGAATTTGATGGTTTAGTGGAGCCCCAAAGCTCATTTCCGTAAATCCAAATAGATCTTATTTTTGTCATATATATGAGTCGTTTATAATTGATTGAAAGCTTAAAGCGTTTGTCTAGTAAGTGCTGCAGTAGTCGAAAACGTCGAGCGGTTTCTAGTTGTTTCAGTGTGGTATGGGGGTTACAAGTGAGTCGTTTGTCCAGGTGGAGTCGTAGGTATCGGATTAGTTCGACAGATATAAGAGGGTTATCGTTGAAGGATACTGTCAGACAGGAAGTCATAGGTTTACGACGAAGAGTGAAGATAATTTGATGGAATTTATTGGAATTTATCAAACTCTTGATAACAATTCCGAATTGTGCCTCAAAACATATTGTATCTCATAGTGTGGAATTGAAGATGGATGTTTTTTGTTTTAGAAACTCTTGCTTATTTAATATGAACTTCAATCAAATCATGTTAAGTAAACTTTTTTCATATTAATATTATTTATTTCTATAATTCCTTTAATCTTATGTTAGTCTTACCATAGCTGGCTCTGGTAAAGTTAAAATCATTAGTTTGATTCCACGAATAAATATAATGTCTCATAGATTGTCTTATTCTCACTTCTACACAGCATATCTATCATGGTTATGATAAAACAATGAGATGTTCGAATATATACTAAAAGCACTATATCAGAAATTCGACAGTGAAAAAAATAAGTGAACTATAAGATTAGGAAACCTATAGAGTAAAACAAATGATCTTAACTTGACAAGATTCATCTGTGGTTAGAATCCTCTAGACACATTTTGGGCTCTACTTTTATACATTTAAAGAGTTATTCAGTCTCCAATTTAATAAATACAAACATTAATTTGTTGACCATACCGAAAATACACAGAAATTATTTTATTTATTTATATTATAATAAATCTCATAAACTGGATAGGCCCCTCTAATGTTCTTTTATCATTTAGAAGACTATTGCATGTTATTTCAAATAATATATAGTTTTATTCGAAGAGAGATTATAGCAATTTATATATGTGAAAATTGTGACAATCTCTCTCTCTGAATACAACCATACTGATAAATTAAATTTTATAGAATTAGGTTTAAGTTGCAATATAACTCTTCAAACTCAAAATATCACTAATATTACTTTTTCATATGATAGAGAATTTCATTCTTTTTCCCAATAACATATAGTATTGGAGTATTCGGAGAGAGATTTTAGCTACAAGTGTTTTTGGATATCGATTAGCACACCATTTCCGTATCACACAAAAACTTAATTGATTTACATTATAATAATTCTCTTATTATTAACTCAAAATTCCACAAATATTATTTCATAATCTGATAGACAATTTCATGCTCTATTAACTGATATGTGGTTATACTATGATATTTGGAGAGCCATGATTGCAATTTTTATTTGTATTTGTAACTAATAAATTAAATTTTACTGTGTTGGGTTTAAAGTGTAATAAAACTCTTCAAACTCAATATTCCACTAATACGATTTTTCATTTGATACAGAATTGTATGCTGTTATCATTATTATATGGTTGTACAGGGGTATTTGAAGAGAGATTTTAGCTACAGGTAGTTTTAGATATTTTTATCACTATTTTGAAATTTTATGTTCAAGAATTTTTTTATACACGAAGAAACATTATAATACTAAGACTTATGATATCAGCAGATTCTATATTAAATTTATAACAAATGAATAAATTTATAAAGCTCTTGGTCAATAAATATTGGTTCAATAAATCAAAAACCAAACAGGTACATGCTGGTTTTGGGACTAAAATGTCTTTCCAACTTCAAAGATTTCAAATGTATAAAAGCTCATAATTCTGAAACTAATTGTTAGAATTGGCTAAAATTTAGAATTTTACTTACATGTTATATGCTTAATTAATATATGTACTTAATATTTACAAATTTTCATTTAGATCTGAGGGAAATAGGTTACAAATTGAACTTTTTCTGAATGATTTGACATGAAATGATCCCATTTTAAGATGTATTAAAAATTTTACAGCTACATTAATACCTTCAGATCCTCTAAAAGAATAGAAGTATAAGGTTGGTAGGATACGAGCTTGCACCAGAGAAAATCTTCAGTTTCATGATACTCGTCCATCAGTGCCTCCATCTGCTTGAGGATTTGTGTGTAAATCTGATAACAGTTCATTAATTATAGTTTAATACAAAATGCATCTCACATTTCTATTGTCTATTATTGGCATTTTGCTTTTTTTAAGCAAATAAAAGAATTAGTACGTGGTCAGGATCAGAGACATTCTTTCTCAAGCTGGAGCATGTTTTAAGTTACTATGCCTTAATAATTAATAAAGAATAAATTCTTATAAATGTAGACCAAATTTAGCACTTCTGAAATCAACTGTCTAAAAACCAATGAATCTGTTTCTTTTTTTTTTTTGTTTTTGGAGAAACTAAAAATTAAATATGTTTACAAAGTATTGTAGAAAAGTGCAGAATATTCAGACTGAAGAAGGATGAGTCAACCAGAGAATTTAGGCAGTTCCCCAACGCTGAATTGCATGAACTGTGGTTACAGTAACTAGGTAGTTAACATAATTGAGATGATTGAGTGTGGAAGAATAAAACAGACATATAAAATCACTGGGCTTAGTGATGAAAGAATTCCTACAAAGTTAATATGCACTGTGCTGAATAGCAAGCATCCGAGGTGTAGACCAAAGCGAAAGTGGGAAGATTGTTTAAAGGATAATGTGGAGGGGTTGGGTTTAGAAGGTATCCGGTAAATGGAAGAATTTAGACATCGATTAATGGTATCAGCATCGAACCTTCAGGCTCGCTAAGCCTTATTATTATTATTAATATAGCAGAAAAAAATTAAGGTACAATTCCAGCACTTTTGACTAATTCAAACTGAATGTTCTAAAAATACATCAAACTACCTATAAAAACCAAGGAGTGGAGAATAATTTTAAACTGAACAAGGGGATTGTAATTTAGCCTACCATGAACTATTTTTGTGAAAAGAATACAATGATATATTTTAATCTAATCTATTTTAATCTAATCTATTTTAATCTAATCTATTTTAATCTATTTTATCTAGTCTAACTAATCTATTTTAAAAGCTATAAAATGATAAGTAATGCCACATATAATTGATAACTAATGCTGACACAAGAGAACAATTTGTTATTTTTTAAAATTGATTAATATTATTTATTACTGAATATCAGACAAAAATAAATTATGAACATACATCAGTTTCTATCTTGAAGACACCCAAATTGTGGACAAATTCAAAATTGTTTTTCTCAAGTGGTACTTCCTTCAAGATCAAGTCCTTCTGCGATTTTCTGCCATTACCAAGCACCACATCCAGTGTTATCCTACTGACCCTGGACAGGTAGTTTTCACCCTTTGGCAAGGCAGGCTGGGCATGGCACCTAAGCACTCTCTGAACAGCTAATTCTTGATTCTGCATTTGAAGCACAGCCTCCATCATAGTAGGCTCCAAGTTTCCTGCTATATCGGTTGATGACATCTAAATTTTAAACAACACTATTAATTGCCAGGTTAAAACTTGACTGATAAAAGAAATGGGCTTAATTACATTAAAATTAAATTAAATGATTTATTATAATATTCTTAATATCAGTAAACCCTTTTTACACTATGATACCAAGGATAGAGAAAATATTTTCATTATTCATTTTTTTCACTTTTGAGATCTCACTGAATTACTTTGAAACAGTCATTGGACGAGATCCCGGGCACTTATCCATGTCCTACTCAATGTCTGACAGAGCAAAGGTGTGTATAAAAAGTTTAAATAAATTAAACCAACATAAAAATTTAAATAAAGAAAATAATAGTAAAAGTAGAAAATTCTTAGAATCATATATATTTTTAAAAATATTTTTAAAAAATGTGGTAGATTTTAAAACAGAAGTAAAAGGCATAGGTTAACATTATCCAGGTAAAATCAATATATTTATTTATTTTTTTAACTACAAATTATTTTTATACATACATAAAAATATTTTTTCATTTTATACAAACGATTTTATTTTATGATTTATTGTTATATAAAATATCTGGAAAACAATTTCAGTTTTTTTAAAATTTATTGATTTATTAAAACAGTAAACATTTTGGACTTAATTATCCATCTTCAAGTTTTTCAATGGCTTCTGACCTGTTTTAAAAGAGAAAAGAATACTGCACCTTTGACTCAATGAGGCCAAGGTGTATTATTGAGAGGAAAATAAAATAACAACAACAATTACTTGTTGGATGGTTAAGATCCCTTCAGCAAGATCCCATTAAGCACAAGGATATAGGGCTGTGTAAATTAAAGTGAGATAAGCTATACATTTTGCATTTGAGGTAATGAGGTCTTAAAATTGTTCAATTTGTAGGATAATGTTTTAATTTAAAATAGTTAAATAAATAATTAAGCTACTATTATAGATTATTGATTTTTTAAAATAATGAAATAGAATTAATATTACATAATATAAGTATTTATAAATATACAAATATCCCAAATTGGAAATTATTAAAATATGAAAACCTTTTAGAAAAACATATAATTATAATTTATACTTATATTGAATATGCACCGAATTTATATATGTTTAATAATGTTACAATTTTTTTAAATTATTGAGATAAATTTTACTAAAGCATTAAATTATTTTTAAGGATTTTAATAATATTATTGTTAAAAATAATTTTATTATTTAAATAGGGTGTATAAAAAAAATTACCATTTCATTAAATTCAAGATTTCAAATGACATGTAAATATTTTAGTCCTATTTAATACTTACCAATACTTTATAGTCCTTTTAGAGCATTCTCTAAGCTCATTTAATCTGAATCGAGTTCTTCAAAAAAATCCTCAGTTTAAATATTTGTTTAGAAGAAAAAACATGACAGTATTTTCTACAAAATTCTTTTAATTTTAAGGCATTACTGGAAAAAAAATTTCAAATCCGCTAAAGCAACTCATGAATTTATTAAATAGAAAGGGGGAGGTGTCCTTGACAGGGAGATATGACATTGGAAAGGAAGAAGAGCTGCGGGCGACCATTGATGGATATTGAATGGTTCTGCAGGCAGCTGTTGAGTCAAATGCGTCCATAAGTACTCGAAAATTTGCCAGGGAGTGTGGTGTGTTGAAATATACTGTTAGTCACCATCTCTCTCCACAGGGAAGGTGAAAAAGAGCAGTAGATTTGTCCCTCACAAATTTATTCCTCAGCAACCAGCTAAAAGGTCAGAAATTTGTGAAAATTTATTGATTGAAAAACCATTCTGATTTTACTGGAAGATTGTCACCTGTGATGAAAAGGGGAATTACTGGCGAGATCCAAATATCCTTGAGCGATGGCTAGATCACGGTAAAACTGCTTTTCCGGTTGCTGCAAGGGGGAAATTTGAAAAAAAATTTCCATTCTTTGCAGTTTTTGATATTTTGAAGGTGTAGTTCATCACGAACTAGTTTCTGAGGAATACTCTATGAATTCTGAACTCTACTGTGAACAACTGGAAAGATTGTATGCGAAGTTATCAGAGCGTTATTCTGCTTTGATCAACCAAAAAGGAATTTTATTCCAAAAAGATAATGCTCATCCTCACACTTCCTGTCGAACCAAAGAAAGGTTTAAAGAACATCATGGGTTCGCACTCCTACCTCATCCACCATACAGTCCAGATCTCACACCATCTGATTAGAACTTATTTATATCCATAGCCCATTTTCTTCAAGGGAAAAAATTGATAATTTTGTGGAAGGTGAAATTGTGCTCTAACAATTCTTTGACAGCCACCCCAAAGAAAGGTATCAGCGTGGGATCGAGCAATTGGCTATCAGATGGCTAATGACGGTAGATAACAAAGGACTATACTTTGAGTATTAATTGTATTTTATATCAAAGAAATAATAATACAAATATTTGGAAAAAACTGTCATTTTTTTTTTTTTTTATACAACCTATTAGAATATTTGTATAATTGATATAAATTTATTAATTACGTATAAACTGATACAATTAAGTTTAGTGTATCATTATTGTTTTTAAAAAATACATAAATAGGATGATATTGGAGTTAATAAGTCGAGACGCACAATTCATTATTTCTGTCAAAATGTTGTTCCTTAAAAATAATTTATTATACATACATGCTGAGTTAGACTGTTTAGTTAAATCCTATGAAGATAATAAAGTTAAAAAGTCAATCATTGTTATAAATATATATTTAATTAAAATGAGAAATATATAAACTAGCATATAAATTATTCAGATAAAATATATTTAATGTTTTTTGACAATATCTAATGAAATGATTACATAATAAATTATTTATACTATTACATAAATATTTCCATAAATAATGGAAAATCACTTTAATTAGATAGTTGAATGTACATTTTATCAAATTGTTCATTAACAGTCATTCAAGGCTAAGTTGATATAGTCTTTTATTCTCAAATAGCATTTTGTTTAATTTTTCAAATTTTTATTTGACCCTAAAATTAAGAATTCTTCCTGGAGTGTTATGGTTGTCTTCCAGCTATGAAGGGGATTGAAGTTGATCACACTAGATGATAGTTTCATTTCCCACCATAACTTTTATAGACCAGGAACCCAATTTTATACTGAGTGAGCTCATAAACCGAGCTTGGTTTTTTTTTTTTATGCAGTAAAAACTGGCAGAACATTACATTAAATATCTAGTTAAAATCATTATATATATAGTTGTGAATTAAGAACGAATTAGAGAAACTATTTAAAAAAAATTATATGTATATTTTATATTACAAACCAAATATAAAAATTATCAAAATGTAATGAAACGAACAAGAAAAAGTATATATATGTTGTAAAGATTTTTTGATTTTTTAAAATAATTTCTTTCAAAATTTAATTGTTCAAAATAGGCAAAATTAAATATAAAGCAAAATTTATTCATTACAACACGAACCAAGGAAACTAAAGGAGAGTTCACATTAAGAACATAAAAACATCTTTCAGTGACAAGGTTAATTTTCAAAGTTGTTCAGAAATATTTTCATAGATTTATAGTTTTCAATCAATCAAAAAACGAAACAAAAGAGATGATATTTCCACTGGAATATTTGTGTCAAGTCCAAAATACCTCTCCACACCAAATGCAACCTCCCACCTGGGGAGAGTTAACTCCAGGGTTGGACATAGGGTTTGGGGGGGGGGAAAAAAAAGGTGGAAGTTTCACTGCATTGGTGACAAACTAATATCGTTTTCTGTTCATGTCCAGTAATTTTTAACTCAACTATCCCATTAATAATGCCCTGGTGTGAGATAATAGGTGAAGAAATGAAAACCATATTTTTATATGGTTTTTAAATATATGCATAGTTGTTACAACATTTCAAACAATTACAAGCAATTTTGGTCTGTCTCGCAAATCGCCCGCAATCGCCCTAAAAACAGATATACCCCATTGTTAACAAAGGTATGAACTTCTGAACACTTTTCAGACCTTGCCCCAACCAATCACTCCGGACGTTATTGAGGATTTAACACGCGGTGATGTTAAATTTAGAGTGACTTTTTATTTATTTATTTCTTTTTACCAGCCTGATTGAGTTACTATCAACCCAAGTTTTGACTAAATAATATCTAATTGTATATATTGACCAAATGAATAACACAACGAGTTTAATAGCTAATTTAAAAAGAAAAACTAAATAATTTTTTGTTATTGGCAAATAAGTCCTTTCGGTTTTTCAGAGTGTATATTAAACTCGTTATATGTTTGTAATTTGGTCAGCATAGCAAATTATGTATTAGTCAAAACCTGGGTTGATAGTAACTCGAACACGCAAGTTACAAACGATATTAGTTTGTCACTAATGCAGTAAAACTTCCAAATTGTAACTATTGTTTATTCTCCCAATGTCTAACCGTAGCGTCAGCTCGCACCGGTGTGCTCCGCAATGATGGCCCTATTTCAAGTATTTTATTTCTGTTTTGAAAATTTCAATATCTAAGACAAATATGATAATCAAATAAAAAAATTCTTAGCATTTGAATTATTCGAAAATAAACTTTTCGTCGTCTTATAAACTTTTTTTCTAGTTCCTTTTCGTTGTTTCATATTATTTACACCTAGAAATTTAAGGTGATTCAAGGTTATAACTTTAAGGGAGTTTCAGTAAAATGTACACAGCCGTTATGGTGCTACTGTATATAGAAAATTACGATTTTCTGATGATAATGAGTTTTCTCCAACTAGGAGTTAATTCAAATTCAAAATATCAACCTTCTGACTTTATTTGAAGGGACTGCTTAAACCATTAATTTCTCAGAAGTCAATACTCACCCCACTGTTATACATCATATAAACATATAATATTCTAGACTGCAATAGGACTGGTACAAGGACCTAAGCAGACAATACAACATTCATAACGAAACATAAAAATTGTAATACATAATCTTGAACTTCTAAACTTCAAGCTTCTTCTGCCTGTCTAAAAGAATGGTTCACAGAT